TGGTAACTATCACTTTGATGATGATTGATGATGAATATTATATTAATGGTAGAAGATAGTTGTTCCATCCCTTTAATAAAGTCTACTGGCAATCATATAAAGAATCCTGTAAATTTGGTGTGAAAGCACTTTTATTTCAGAACTTTGGTGCTTAAGTTCTAATAAAGTTACTCTTATTGAATGAATCTAACTTTTAGTTTCGAAATGCGATGATTCTGATTGCTTTTTTGTATTTTAATTATCTTCAGATATAATTCCACATAAAGGGAAATAGAAGTGTAAATAAACTTTTTCATGTGAAATTCATTTTTTTTCTGAAACTTGTTTGATAAGTAGTTAAGATGATATAAAAGGATGGAAATACATTTCTTACTAGAATGTTCTGAGTATATGTATATATTATTAATGCAGGATAAATATTAAAAATGAACTATTTTTTAAATTGTTTCTTTCAAGCTAAGAGTGTAGAAATCTAATAAAGTAATCATTTTATTTTTAATTGTTGTCACATTTTTTGCATTTTAACTTTTTGTAGTCAAATTATGTTACCAATTTATGAACTGTGGAAAAAATTAATTTGGTATGGTTTTAATGAAAATTTTTAAGCTTTGTTAACTGCCTCATTTTTCTTGATATTTGCCAAGGAGGGAAAGGTAATTAATGCTTTCTTAGGTTTGAAGATTTTCATCCAATCATCCTTTCTTATTGTTAAGCTCACAAAATTTCCTTTGGTCATTGAAGGTGGGAAAGAAAACCTTCTTAGACACGTTTCAAATTTTATAATTTCTACGTTTAATTATAAGAGTCTTTTATGTAAATTTTTGATTCTTATGTAAAAGCTGTTACACCGACTTGATTTGGTATTTTTAGACATTCATCAAATTGTCATTTCATTATTTTAAGATCATTCCTCTTCAGGAAATAGATGACTAATATTAATGTCATCGTTATCAGGAATAACTCAGCATCTGTGTGATATTTTTTAGATGTATTGAAATTCTCCACAAGTTTGGTTTTTATAGCATGTTTTAGCTAGTTACTGTCTTATGGAGGAAAAGATTCTCATTATTCTGGCATAATGGAGCTAGCTAGCTACATGATTCTACAGAAGTAAGTGTTGAGTGGGAAGACTTGGCTAACTAGAAGTAAAACATGGAATCTCTGGAACTAATCTGCATTGTGAAATTTGGGTTTTTGTATTGGCAAGAAGAGAGTGGGATATAAGTGATGAAGCAAAGCTGGGAAACATTCCTTTTTTAAAAAAGATTTATTTATTTATGCATACAAGAATTTATGCATACAAGTACAGGCCAGAGGTATGGGGCATGAGAGGATTCACTAGAGACAGAGTGGGGAATAGAACAGACGGATTGACTGAATTACACTGCTGAGGGGAGCAGAAGGTGAGTCAGGAGAGGCCTGGATCAAACTTATGCTGCAGTGGCTGCAGGCAGCTTGATAGGTTGCATCTTAACCCCTTGCACCAAAAGGGAGGCCCTGGGAAACATTTTTTCCCTTCGTTGTTAGCCTTGATGTAGTAGTAATTATTTAAAATATTTTCTCATCCTTGATTTATCTTCATGCTTGGAATTAACAGAAATCTTGTCTAATGGTATGTCTTGGGATATTTGCACTTTGTTTTGTTTTAGTTTTTAGTCCAATGTTGAGTTAAAAGTAATTCAGTACAGGAGTGTCACCTTTGTAAATTTTTGTCATGCAGATAGGTCTTATGTAGGAATGTAACCTACTGGTAGCGTGATTAAAAGACTCCTTTTGTTTACTGCTGATTGATAGGTACATGGCTCTTGATGTTACTGAAATGTGTTACTACCCATGGCTTTTTCTTCCCATTACATTTGACAAAGTAGATTGTTGGTTTTAGGACAATAGTGACTAAAATCTTATCAAACTATTACAGGTGGAACTTGGGTTCTAATGTAGCGCTTTTGATGAAATAAGCACTTTGTTATTTTTATCTTTAAATATAATTTTCAGTTAATTTTTACCAATATGCATTACTATCTTAAGGTGATGCCAGAATTTTTTTTCTAGCAATAACTTACTCCTACCTTGAAGGTGATTTCAGTGTCAATTTTTCTATTCCGTGCTACCTAGTAAGGATTAGAGAGAAACGCTCAAACATCCAGAAGTTTCCTTCTATTTAGATCAAAGGTGGAGGTGGAGACTGTGCAGTTTTTGTTTATTTATTTCAGGAGCACTTCCCTTTCATTCACTTACTGAATAAGAACATTATACTTATTTATTATTATTAAATGTTTGCTGAGGAGTGGCAGCATTTTTCTTCTGTTCGGTCAATGAAATGGACATAAAACTGAGTTTTTCAAGTCTTTCTTTAGTCTGGTTTCTGTTTACCTTCTTTATATTTCTATTCCATTTACTCATGCATCACATCCAATATTTATCTAACATTTTGACTGTCCTTTAAACAAGTTCTTCAGTGTTACTTCCTTTCTTTTACATTATGTTTTCCTCCTTTGAATTCCAGTGCAGTCATAGATAGTACTTTGTGGTTGAACATTAATTTCTCACTCACTTTTTCTAAGTCTAGTTTATTTGTCTGACCAAAGAAGACAGAAAATTACTTGAATAACTATTTTCTCACTTCTCTCACCATTCTTTGTTGTGTAGGGAAGAAGTTAATTTCCATTATATTCAAAGTATGTCTTAGGATAGTGGTTTTCAAAGTGTACTCTTAAACTGAGACCTTTTCACAAATCTGAAAGATCAGAATTTTTTTTTTAATATTTATTTATTTATGCACGAACTGGGGTACAGTCGGAGGCACAGGAGGGTGAGAGAATTCACCAGAGACAGTGCAATTTTCCAGAGGCTACATGGTTTATAATATTAAAATAGATTGAATTCAGAAGCAGATCTGAGAATATGGTGGTCTTCTATGAAACACAACATTGAAGATATTTGCAATGGTATAAAATGATGATATTCCTGCCCATTTTTTGTTGTTTAGGAAAATATACTTTTCATAAAATATTATTTATGCTTACATATAGCAGATCTATTTTGTTTATAATTAATAAATAAGGCAGTCCCCACATTGCACAGTTCCAATATGCACAGCATAAGTATTCAATATACAATATGTAATCATTTCAGTTATTACAGTTTAATTAAATAACCAACCCTACAACAACATGATTCTAATTGACTGTTGTCATATATTAACTGGGAGTAAACTGGTAAAACAAAATTTTACTGGTACTTACTTAGTTCACAAATCACTGTGTAAGTAACAAATGTACATCATAATTAGTAACCAGTCATATCTCTTTTTTCAGTCTGTCTAGGATTGGTCACTATACATCTATTATTAGTTCATGCACAGAAAACAAAACCTATAGTTGTATTGTCTTCTTGTCTCTTGGTGATAAACAGATATGCTTTGCTAAGTAATGGATAGAGTGAATTGGCCAAAAAAGATGAAAGTATGGCAAAGAAACAGAAAGTAATAGCACTGGAAGTGAAAATTATATATGGAAAGCAAAAGGAATTATGAAAAAATAGTTGATCATAGGATATGCAGGTAGAGGAACTTAGTGAAAGCAAACATTGACATAAATGAGCAAGGTGTTTATGACAAAGAGAATGATGTCCCAGAAGAAGTGATACTGTGAAACCACTTCACATCTTAAGGCCTCTTAGAGACTTTTACTATGAAAATGCACAGGACACATTGTTGTAAACTGGTCCAAATACACTACTATGATGGCGTACCAAGGCATAGGAAATATGCTCAATCTTAAATTTTAAATTATGGAATGAGGAGGCAAGCTTGGTTGAAAATACTTTTGATAAGATTTTTCCAAAGAAAATACTTTAATTCTTAGAGTTTTCAGTGTTTCACAGTGTGTACTAAATAGTGTCTCCCCCATTTCCCTATACATCATGACTGTCAGTGGCTTTTTAATGTTTTGACAAAAGTTTGTAAAGGTCACAGAATAATTGTAATTCTTTCCACTAGTGAGGTCACATTGCATAGTTTCAACTTATAGTCATTTTATTCTCCTGGCTACTCTGCAAAATGAGGACTGCTTGTATTTAAAATTCTTCAGTTTAATTACTACTGTGATAAATATTGATAGATATAATCCATAAAATAAGTCTTTCTGTATTTCCCTTTATACTTGCTGCCTTGGCTTTCTGTCTTCTTTCAATAGCATAACCAACAAGGCTAAACCTAAGAAACAGTTTGTATTCCTTTATCTCCCTCAGATTTTACATTTCTAATTATTTAGTAACTGTCATTTCTCCTATAGCTCGTAAAAACTTTGAATCTATACTTTCCGAATACTCACATCTTTTTTTATGCTCCAAAACTCTTTTTTTTTTTTTTAAAGATTTATTTATTTATTTATACAAGCACTGGGTACAGTCAGAAGTGTGGGAGGGTGAGAGAATTCACCAGAGCCAGAGCGGGGAGCAGAGCAGGTGGAAGGACCAAAGTACACTGCTGAGGGGAGCAGCGGGCAGCAGGAGAGGTCTTCGCGCCATGTGGGACCCTCCTCCGGTGACGGGGAGCAGCCAGGGATCAAACCGGCGCTGCAGCTTCTTCGCAACCCAGTGCTCAACCGCTGCACCACGGGGGGAGGCCCTATGCTCCAAAACTCTTAAAAGCATCTGGATCTGACAATCAAGTTTCTTGCAAGTAGAATTATGACTTTTAGTATTTTGTAGTTAATAAATATAGGTCTTTTTAATTGTCCTTTTATTGACTATGAAGATCGTGAGCTATTCCTAAATTTTAACTTTGTCAGTAGATGGTGGTAAATATGTAAGTGAAAATCCTGATATTTCTGTAAAATTTTCTGTTTGCAAAGTGAATATGAATAAATTGAGTTTTCAGAATATATAATCTTTTCAGTGTTTCTGTAATACTCAAATTGCCCACCTCTCATTTTTCCTACTTAGGTGAATGAATCAGCTCTGTTTGAAAGCTATTGTAATCTCCCTTTTTTTCATAGGTTTTCTGTGAAGACCCTGATTGATCGGTCTTGCTTTGAGACAATTGATGACTCTTCTCCTGAATTTAACAATTTTGCGGCTATATTGGAACAGATCCTAAGTCACCGGCTAAAAGGTAACAACAGTAATATATGTTTATTATCTCAATAGTTGTTTTTAGTGTACTTGAAATTTTAGAAACTATATAGTCAGGTTTGATTTAGATAATATATTCAGAAACAAAACTGATTTTAGAATATCTTATCTTTTGGCCCGTGTATCTGAAAAGATTTTCTATACTCTGATTTGAACCTTTTTCCAGGATACTTTAAAAATATTGTCAAGTGTATTAGTTTCGCATACAAGGAACAGGGACACCTCCATAAGTGATGGAAACTAAAAGCTTAAATTAAAAGATAGCTTACTAGATGGTACTTTAATCAGTTTACAAAGAAACATCAAGGCATTAAGTTTGTTTGCTTAATCTCTCTATTAAGCTGTGATCTCTGACAACTTTTTAACAGTAAATATGTTAAAAAAAGAGATATGTAAAAAAGATTCTCTGCTTCAGTTTTCTTAAATGAGTAGTTATATTTATATCAAAAGCATGAATATCTTAAAATGTTTTTAAGGGCATGATGTAAACCATGCTCTCCCAGATATAAAATATTTTTATCTCAGCAGACAGATAAAAACATTATCTATTAAATTTGGCTAATAACATAAAGAAATATGTAGTTAAATCTTAATAATAATAAATACTAACCATTCCACATTATTCCATTATCTAGTCTTCCCAAAGAAAGCCAGATCATCAAATAATTTCACTTAAGTTTTCATTATCTTTACAACCTTAATAGTATAGTTTCAAATCAGTAATCTCCTTTGTATTACCAAAGATTAAGATGAAAGGTAATTCTGTCCCGTACTATTTGATACTGACTTGTATCAAAAGTTTTACTATAAATATCTAAGTTGAGCAGTCCTATAGGTCTATTAAAAAAGGTTGAATTTAATTACACGATGAGACAAAATTTGAATTCATTTAACCCTCTGTACTTTAACATGACTCCATAGTCATGATTGACTTTCTGTTAAAAGTTGATTATTTTACATTTTAAAAGGATAGTTTTTTCCTTATTTTTGTTTTTATATGTTTTTCTAAACTTTCTGCCTTGTTACCCTTTATAACAAAATAAGTTTTATAAAAGCAAAGGACATACAAGTATTTGGGGATATTTTCAATGGTACTGTGTTGTGTGATGATCATATTTTAAATTTTCATATGTAAATTGGTAAATAGTACCTAACTAAAAAACACATGTGATATACTAGTACTAGATGTATTTTTATTTTCACAAGTCTTTTTTTATCATGACCTCAGTACCCTTTATTGGTGTTACCACTTAGCATATTACAACTATTAACAGAGAACATGTTGAAATATCCATTCTGAGTGATTGGACAGACTTGCTACCATGTAAGTGGTTCCCTCCTGCATGTTTGGAGTCATGCCCCAGCAAAATATAGATCATAGGCATTAGAATTACTTCTTAATCAAATCTGTAGATGTTTTTCCTAAGAGGTCAGTGAATTACCACATGAAAAAAAAAAAGAATGTTTAGTTGAGTTATGGGTTAAAATTCCACTGACATAATAAGAAAGGTGATGTAGTGAGGTTTGTGTTAATTTTTAAACTAGGTAAGACTAATGATTAAAAGAATGCTTAAAAAATTGTATAGTGGAGGATTGTGCTGACTGATTAGTATAGTTATGAATCACAAATTGATCAGTAATTTTTGAAATGAGGTATTTTAAGTACTCTAGTGTCTACAGACTTCCACATACTTTTCTTTTTTGGATAGCCTAATTTATAACAAATTGCATTTACTTTTAGAGAAATTATTTTTTTTGATATTAAACTGTTCACTTAAAATTTAATTATACAACAATCAACTTTTCTTATGTTTTTCATTATGTAAGAACAGATTAAAATGTATAACTTCATAGTTTATAAAATTTACTTTTCTCCAGCTTTTATTTTTAATTTTTGAAATAAAATTGTATTTAGTTTAAATATTAAATTCTTTCAGGAAAAGATAAAATACACTGTTCTTAGGGATAGTATAGGTTATGCTGACATAGGTAAAATGGAGAACTGAGAGTTACCTACTTAGTTCAGTTTAAAGCCTCATTATTAAAGAAAAAGAGGCTTTTTAAAATCACATACATTAATCTTGCTTACAGTTAATCATTGTCTTTTTTGAATATTAGCTGAGGATTAGGAATTAATCACAGAATATAAAATTCAAAGTTCAGTTCAGTAATTTTTGAACTTTTCTTTTTAAATCATAATTCCTTTCTCCACCCTGTCCTCACCTACCCTAATAACAACCACCGAAGCTGCTGGATACATAAATGGAATGTCTTATTAAAGCAGGGTGGGGAAATCATTCATTTTGCCTGCTCAGCTGTAATCCCATTCTACCCAGAAACTCCCAGCACCACTTCAGATACCACCATGGATTATAAATCAGAAATCACCATTTTAGTCACTCTTTTGCTGAATCAGTCCACTCAGCAATCTTTCTAACTAGCAGATATATAGTCTTTTAATACTTCTGTTATCTGGGTACTTAGGATAAGCAGTCCATTATATTTTGGGACAATTCAAATAATTAGAAATTTCTTAGGTAAATGAAGCAACTTGATCTATTTTTGGTCACTTTTTTCACTTGTCAGCTAATAAATATTAAAAGGTTACTATTATATAACCCTTTGTTCTCAGTTTCCCATTTTCTTTTTTGTACAAGAACCCTAGTTCTTCAGTCTTTTGGAACAACCACAATCTTAGTTAATATTCTGGTTTATCAATAGATTTTTAGTATTGCCCTTAAAGTCTTGTACTCACCTGAGGAAAGTGCTTCAGATAGCCCTAATCTCTGTACCAGTCAGAATTTAAGATTACATTTTGATTCCCCTATGACTCTTTTGGTTCATCTTAAAGTTGAGGCCAAGTAAAATTCCAAGGCTTCTAAAAATTTTAACTATTACTTTTCTTTAGTTGCTTGAGTTCAAGTTTGATAGGAAAAATGCAGTATTATTTTCTTTCTTATTGACCTTAGAGATGGATGATGCAACTGACCAAATGAAATTTAGGAGGACTTCTTCTTTCAGGAAGATAAGTTGGTCATATTTTTCTGTATTTCTCCCAAGTGTAATCAGATACCCTGGACATTGTACATAAAGCATTTCAAGGAGACTCCAAAAGATAGAAATAAGAAAGATGACTCTCTAGGTACTGCTGGACATTAGGAATGACATGATGCTAGGTTCCTTAGATTTTCTGGTTGCCTCATATATCCAGAACTGGTGCTAAGTAAACCAGTGACCTGGGAAAGTTAACAGGCACAGGAATACAAATGCTGACAAGTACTTGCTCTAGCTAGAAGACCGGTAATACAACCTAACAAGATAATACAAGGTAAACAGCCTAACAAGATAAAGATAATATAAATGGAAGACTTTCACATAGCTGCGGTCCCAGAAAGGCTCTGATATTACTCCCCACCTAGACCAAAAAAGTATCATGAGGTGTCCTTAACACCACTGTCAGAGTGATTATCAGAGGAGACCAAGTAGAGAGCTGGGACTTCTTCCCTCTTGGATGGCTGTGAGGCTTCTCTACCCACCTCCTCCTGCACTGCCCAGCACCCATGAAGAGCCTGAATTTCCATCCCCACCCAGCAGTAATGAGGTGCTGCTTCCCTGCCACATTGAGTTTGTATCAGAAGAGGTCTATTGGAAAATTACATCCTTCACTGTCATCTAGTAGGAAAAAGGCTGTCTGCAGTGGAGACCACTTAGGAAAACTACACCTAGCAGTAATGAGGACTTTTCCCTTGTGTCAATAGAGACTAAGTGGGAAACTTGTACTTTCACTACATTTGGCAGTGACAAAGTAATGACTTATAAATACCACAGAAATACTTATAAATACCACCTTCTCTTGCACTGCAGTAATATAAAAAGTCAGTTAACACAAAAAGTTTAAATAACTTCCAGAGTCTCATAAAATAATATGAGCATGTGTGTATTACATTTGAAGACCAGAATTATCTCAGATGACAAAAGATAACTGACGTCAATATGTTATGAAATAGTCATGATAAAAATGCCTCATGGGGCAGTGACAAACATGCTTGCAGCAAATGAAAACATAGGAAACTTTAGAAACAGAGAAGCTATACGAACCAAAACTAAATAAACCCAAAACTAAAAGGCTCAACAGGAAAATGAAGGGGACAGAGGAAAAAATCAGAACTAGAAGATGGAACATAGAAGTTTTCTAATTTAAATAACAGTAATCAAATAGTCTAAATATAGAAAACAGACCCTCCCCCCCCCCAAAATGCACAGAGCTTCAGAAATCTGTGAACTACAACAAAAGACCAAATATTCTTGTAATCAGAGTCCTTAATGGAAAGGATAAAGAGGAAAGAAAAATACTCAAAAAATACTTGGAGAAATAGTGATTGAAAATTATCCAAAGTTGGCAAGAGAAAAACATGGATTCAAGAAGCCAAGTGAATCCCAAACAGAATAAATTCATGGAGATGCCTATCAAGACACATATAATTAAACTTTTGAAAAGAGAAAGAAAGGTTCATAGTAGCTAGAAAAGCAATACTTTGTCTATTAGGGAAAACCAATTTGACTGATAGCAGGTCTCTCATCAGAAACCATGGAGGTGAGAAGGAAGCAGATTTTTATTAGAAACAATGGAAGTACTTCTTCCTAGTGCTAAAAGAAAAGAAATGTCAACAAAAAAGTCCTATATCCAACAGGAAGGAAATTATAAGAGAAGGAACTTTTGGAAAGAATAACTTGATAAACAAAAGTATGGGTAAATACAATAGACTTTCCATATTATTTAGCTTTGTGTGTTTCCTCTGGTTTTTATTTTTCTGTTTTCTTACACCTATCTTCCTGTAGGTTACTTGAACCACTTTTGGAACTCCATTTTTATTTATCTCTGTTGAGTGTATCTTTTTGTATGAATTTTTTAGTGGTTCTAGGTATTACATTATATGTGCATAACTTACTGCAGTCTACTAGCATCATCATTATCCAGTC